TTAAATAAAACGCGAAATTATTCGTAACCTATCTATTTTAACGTGACGGATCGACGAAACGTACAATGTCAATCTACTATCAAAAAATGTAGATTCCGTTACTTTATATAATAAAAAACTTTACTCACCGACACGATGCGCAGCGGCGGAGTTGAATCTACGTTGATTCTGCAATGGCGCCCGACGCCTCCTCCTCCATTCAGATGTCCTCCTCTCAGAAGTCGTTGTCTCAGCTGTCCTCCGACACACTTGCGAATTTATTAACACTTGCAAAGTCACTTGCCACTTTCACTGTGTCCACATGCCACTTCACTCGCGAACGTACAGTTCCGTTTGTAAAGTTACTCGCCACTGTCACTGCATCCCCATGCGACTTCTTCGGTTTTCACCGTGCCCGATTGTCACCGAGTCCGATTGCCACTACGAAATGTGCGATTACATCGAGCATCGATGGCAAATCGCGGGAATTCAGCGATCGCATCTGCGATCGCGGTTTCTTCCCGCACTTGTCGCGAACGCGTATCAAGAAAGAATCGTACGATATGCGAAGCCACGCGGGCATAAAACCGATCAGTTCGACTGTCGCCGCGTAACTGATCTTGCGTACGGCGCCGTAAACACCGAAAAAACCGAGCGCGGATTCCAAGAAATGACGTGGCTCCGTGAACACCTCGGACAAAAACAATCTATTGGAATCCGCGCTCGGTTTTTGCGGTGTTTACGACGCCGTACGCAAGATCAGTTACGCGGCGACAGTCGAACTGATCGGTTATGCCTGCGCCGCTTCGCATATCGTACGATTCTTTCTTGATACGCGTTCGCGACAAGTGCGCGAAGAAACCGCGATCGCTCTCTGCGAATAATCAGTGAGTGATATCATCGTGCCATCGCTGAGTTCCCGCGATTTGCCATCGATGCTCGATGTAATCGCACATTTCGCAGTGGTAATCGGACTCACATCAGTGATAATCGAACACGGTGAAAACCGAAGAAGTGGCATGTGGATACAGTGACAGTGGCAAGTAACTTTACAAACGGAACTGTAAATTCGCGAGTGAAGTGGCATTTGGACACAGTGACAGTGAGGGTGCAAATAACTCATAGAGCGGAACGGTGTATGTACGCAGAAAATCGCGGAACAGCTTCGACCAATCACGAAAACGTCGGAACACTCGTGATTGGTCAAGGCTTCCGCGTTTTCAACCAATCACAGAGCCGTATTAGCGTCTTAAAATGATTTGAAAATAAGAATCGACTATGAATACCGGCCTATGAGTTTGCACGCTGACAAGTGTCTTTACAAACGGAACTGTAAGTTCGCGAGTGAAGTGGCATTTGGACACAGTGAAAGTGGCAAGTGACTTTACAGTGTAAATTCGCAAGTGTGTCGGAGGACAGCTGAGACAACGACTTCTGAGAGGAGGACATCTGAATGGAGGAGAAGGCATCGGGCGCCATTGCAGAATCAACGTAGATACGACTCCGCCGCTGCGCATCGTGTCGGTGAGTAAAGTTTTTTATTATATAAAGTAACGGAATCTACATTTTTAAATAGTAGATTGCACATTGACATTGTACGTTTCGTAGATCCGTTACGTTAAAATGGATTGGTTACATATAATTTCGCGTTTTATTTAACATATTTAATTGATCGAAGAGAATTGATTTCATAGAGCTCTACAAATCAAAGTATGTTGAGCTCATTTTTCATGTTTAACATCGTTGAACTACATCATAGAAATTACGCGAAATATGACGAATATTATCGATATATTCGGCCAACTAATCTCTCGTAGCCTATCCATTTTTAATTAAAGAATTGATATATGTATAAAGTGAAATAATATGACGTGAGATTCCAACATAATGTGTCGAGAACGCTTAAATTTGAAATTATTTCCATACTTTATTTGAGATTGTCGATTAACTGTAATATTGAATTATAATATCGGTATCACTCGTGCGGCTTAAGTTGCCTTTTTTTATCTTACGTCATTTATTCTGCATGTCTCGCGATACATTGAAGATGCGTTTCGTATGAATACATGCATGAATGAATGCATAGTCACACGCATCTCGTATTTTTGCGGTCGATTTTCGCGGTCGGTTTTCGCGATCAATTTTTCACAACATGTTCAAGAAATTGTTAATTGTTTAATTTCATCGCGGAATATAATTAAAATTAATATAAAACAAAGTAAAATTTTTTCCCACAATATATTTATGTGCTTGAATTTTATATTCAAAGATCGAGTTACGAAGAGACGGTTAGTACTTTTAAAAACGGAAGTAAAATAACATTTTGATCAGTTTTAAAAATTAAATTTTTAAAAATTACATTATTTCTTTAAATAACTTGTCTCGTGGTCGTGTATTTTTCGATACGAACGGCGCTCGCATATAGTTCGAACCGTACGAAATATCTGTCGGTGATAAACCGACTATGGAAGCTGTTTTCTTTCTTCCTGATCTCTGGTCAAAATGACCAGACTATATGGCCAGGAGCAACGAAAGGTATGTCCAATCTGGCCCAACGAAGGGATACGCCGAGTTAGTGGTCAATATTGGCCACTTTGATGTATTATGTGAATAAGGTGTAGTACATACGATATATGTTGATTTCTTCTTATGTGCAAAAATTCGGGTGGGTTATATTCTTATCTTCTTTACATCTCGCATATGTGCGAGATTAACAAGACTCCTATTAAATCCCATTCGCGCGCGTATAGCCACAAATCGGACCTTTTATAAAGCGCGTCGCGGTTCTAACGAAAGACTTGTAGGTTTATTAAGAAAAAGTTGAAACGCGGGTAGGTAGGAAAATGGATAAGACTATACATCGGAATACGGGCAGGTAGAGATTTGAGTAGGGACAGGAGGACATAACTCATGACATGGGACACAACTAAAATTGGGCACTGCATCACCTGCTTGAAAAATGAGCGTAGCACGGACACGCACCAAGTGCAGATTTTATCGGCAGTGCTTGAAAATGGGTGTAGCGAAATAGTTCCAAAAATGAAAATTGGCGTAAGGCGCTGGAATCAGCCGAGTAAAATGCCGGCGTGGCCGCTCTCAGGTTCCTCTCTTCTATGCTCTATGATCCTAGCGCGATATAAAATCTATCGAACGGCAATATTGTAATCGATCTTGAATCGTCGAACGGCCGGCGATACATCGAAACGGCCGTAACGATTATTTTTGTGAGGTTATGAGATAACCACGTTAAGATGTTTAAACAAATTCTCCGATCCGGGTGTAACTTAAATCAGATTTTACCGGGTAGGCAGAAGTAGTTGCTTTTTCCTCTTCTATTCGAGTATTAGGAGACATTAACTTAAAAAAGCGGTAACTCTAGCTGTACATTGTTAACCTTCAACGAGAGCAGAAAGGAGACTTGTGACATTTCGACGGGAATTAAATTAACAATGGATCCTTCCGTAAAAACCAAAATGTTTAAAACAGTTTTCTTTTTAACGAAAACTTCCTTCGAGACAAAAGGCTTGTTTCCTGTTGCTACACCGGTGAATTAGTGCAATAAATTCAAGTAAGACAAGTATATTTTTCTCATTCTAACTTACTGCACTAGTTCACCAGTGCAGGAACAGAAAACAGACCTAAAGTAGCATAGAACCTACTGAAAAATTGAATTCTTATAAAACAGTTCTTTTGTCTCAATCGTGTAATTTTGTCACGTATGTCCTTCTTGTTCTAACCGACTCAATTTCATTATAAGGCTGATGGCAGAAAACAATCTGTAATCGCTTAAGACTGTCTAAAGTCGTAGACGTAAGGCAAGGCAGAGACAAACTTAAGTCGCGAAAGTCTATTGTACACCACTTAGGTTTTTTTCTGCCTCGCCTTACATCTATGACCTAAGTCAGTCTTGCGGATTGTTCTCTGCCATCGGCCTAAGGCCCGGTCTATGATGAGTCGTTGGTCGTTTTCTTTCACTCGAAAAGAAACAGGATTAATATATATTTCTGACTAATTGCACGGTTAATACCTCGTAATATCTTTACACAGCTACTTCGAAAAAGACTGCCGCAATATGTCCCAATGTGATCCAGCATCGAGACACCCGGACGTTCTGTACCGCCACGGCTACGGGAAAATGGGATTTGTACAGCGCTGTCTGTTTAGAACGTCATCCGGTTATAACGCAGCCAATGCAAGAGATAGAGCAGAAGTTTCACGATCTGTTAAAGAAAATTGAATATGAAAACAGTCTCAAGTCCGATTATGAATTAAAGAAGATAAAAGAGGAGAGACAGAAAAAGTCAGGCGACAAGGACAGCGCGGATATTTTAGTGCAAACTGCACAGGATCTTGAGGACAGTTTTCAGGAGGAATTGAACAGTTTCAAATTTGCACCAACCATTACGAGTACGCGTTGATCTTTTCTCTGCAAGTGCACGAGATAAAATCTCGGAGCAGAAAATACACTTAGAAAATCAATCGTACAATATCGAATTCTTTAAGCGAAAGCGTATTACGAAAGGAAGACTTACTTTATGTATTGTACGACTCAGATATCATATTTTTCTTATCGTAAACGATTCATTTTCCTGCGTTATTTTCAGAATTTGACGAACAAAACGTAACGTCGACTTTAAAACGTAGATTGGACAAAAATTTGCTGTTGCTGGTGCAACAAAAAGTAGGCGATTCACATTTTTGGATACCTCCCCAAGGTATTCGAAGGGAAGGGGAGACCATGAGACAAGTAAATCTACAATTTCTGTCTGCAATTAATTTTACATGCGTGTAAAACCTCGGCGAGGATAAAAAATAATTCGGTGATAGTATTCTTAATATTAGGCAATTTTTGGCAATAATTCCTAACCAATTCTCCTTTATAGACTGCGGAGAGAGTATTGCATGATACATGTGGTGCAAAAATGACGGTGAAGTTTTATGGAAATGCACCTATCGGATTCTACAAATACAAGTATCCCAAAAAGCTTATCGAGCAGGGAAGTCACGGCGCTAAAATATTTTATTTCTTAGCGAAACATATGGACGGGGATGTCACTAATGGCGTAAAGTATCAGTGGTTAGATCACGAAGAATCAGAAAAAGTATTACCTAGTGGAGTGCAACAGTGTATTTCACAATTTATGTTATTCACTTAAAAAAATATTAAAATATTGCCTCGTCCTTCTTCACTTCTTATTGTCGATATCTTGTCTATTGCTATCATAATATTAACATTATAAAGTACTCCTAATATCCTTTTCAATTAAAGGAACATATTTCCTTTCACGCAAATATTTGACGTACAGTCACAATTATTAAATTTTATTTTTTATATTCTTTATATTCTTAACAAAAAATACCTTCTCGACGCATCTTTTTATTATTGAGGAAAGTATCTCGTTACGCATCTCGTATTACTTTTAACTCGTAGAATGACGTAGAAACACAAAAATTTATTAGATTCTGCAAATTTTACTAATTTATTATATCAAATTATAAAAATAGTGTTTTATGTTATGTACACTTCAGAATCGTCCAGATCTCTTTCGTCCGGTAAACTTGGAATTTTCTCTGACCTCCTTTCCTTGCCGTCGTCGCCTTTCTTTCTTCTCTAAAATCCAGTCCCTACTTTTCTTCAAGGGTTTGCCCCTCGCTTTCTTTGTGTACTCCCTACAATGTAAAATGTGCGAAAAGTTATCGGTATTTCTGCAAGGTAAAGATACAGTTGAAGAAATATTAAAGACGAGTGTGCAAATTACAATATAACGTAACGAGAGAATCGTACCTTCTTGAATTGGCGGCAGTTCGTTTATCTTCGTTCTCTACGCCCAGTGCCTTCGGAAGCGGAGCCGCTCCGCCGGTCATTAAAACCAAGAACATTTTCTTTGCCTTCGTGCTGTTTGGAAAATCGACCACCACACCGCCGAAAAAGCCGGCTTTCGTGGCCTGTGCTGTGATCAATTCAACCTGTTCGCTGTTCTCCGGATAGAATTGTAACACTGCCCTCGCGCTTCTCGACAGGCACGCGTACAACGCCGAGAAGAAACAATACAAGCGTTTCGTGGGATAGTGCGAAGCTTTGTTCGCATAGCACAGCCACTGAAGGGCAGAAATACTAACGGCCCCATCAAAAGTACCAGCCCGAAATGGCAATCCCTGACCTATATCTCCCAATAGTAAGTCACCGTCTGTTTCTCTCTCAGCAGCTACCTCTAAAAAATAATGTGTCAACACGTGTACCAGAGTGTATACTTGGCGTCATGAATGCCTTTACACCTGAAGAGACGCCAAAGATATCCAGTGGGAAAATTTATTTTAATAAAATTAATTGTTCCATCGGAATATATTGAGCTTGACGCCTATTTTCAGATGTAAAAGCATTCGTGACACCGAATGTACACTCTGGCGCATGTGCCAAACAATTGCCAAAAATTGCCTAACATTACATATCGACTGATCTCTTTTGCAAGGTCGTATCTTGATTTTATACAATTCCTGATTCCCCCAAGCGCTCATTCCGGTCCAGAGAAACTGAAAATTATGTAAAATCGAGATACAACCTCGTTGAAGAGATCAGTCGATATGCTGCAAGGCACATATTGTTAGAAGACAAACGTACTACGCAATGCAAATACTTACCAAGCATAGCTGGAGAAATGTCCATGCCCATCCATACATGTCCCTGATCTTCCAATACGCTGCCACTGAGGCCTGATCCGCAACCGATATCCAAAAGCAAGCAGCTCTGATCCTCGGGTAGCACAAGAAGTTCTATAGCACGTTCGCACATCTGCACTTGAATTTCTATCATACGAGAGCTGCAAAAACATAGATTTCGTTATAAAGACATAGGGTGCTTTACAGCAATGTACAGTGTGTTGCACGCGACACTGCGTAACATAGCGAATCGTTTCATCTTTTGCCATTATTAAGCCTAATCTACAATGCGCTCTTCGCGCCTACAAACATTCTATTTCGTAGCCAATAAATAAGTTTAAAAGATTTGTGCAAGTTGATAAATTATACATCGTACAATCGTACGTTGCCGACAAAGTTTCTGAGCGCTTTGACTCGCTTATATAAAATAGAATGTTTCTAGACGCAGAGAGCACGTTGCAGATTAGGCTTCAACAATGATGAAATGATTCTGTTACACTGTGCTAATCTGGGTCTCTCGCTGGAAGACTTACCTCTGCGTATATTTCGTCGCTTCCGTTTTATCGTAATACTGTCACAGAGAAAAATGGAATTAGCTTCTGTCTTGATTTATTAATGCTTTCTTTTAATTTATATAATTTGCAAGCAAAGAACAATCGCTAGTCGGCCAAGTTAACTTACCACCTCGGGCGGCGCCGTACGTTCTGGACGCTTAGACATCTTGATTAATATTTATTCCGTCTTCCAATACAGCTTTTATCGCTAATAACGAAGGAGAGCCTCTTGCTCACCGTTTTAAACTACTCGGCGAATAACCTCCGACGCTAAAAATAATCTCGATTAGGCATCGGTGTTATTGCACTTTTGCTATTACCGTATGATCTCTTATCGAACACGTCCTAACAATTTGCCCGCTTCCAACGATGCTCGATAAATCAACAATATATCTTTTCCAGCAGAAAGTAACCTCAACAAACCGCATGTCTAGCTCGCGAACGACTCCACAGGCACCCGCTCCACAGTAAAGGCCTTCACACC